GGAAGGTGTCACGCCCCCTTTTCCAATAGCCCCAGTTTTTCCCTATGAGTATCCGATGATTTCCTTATACCTCCATACTAAGTTCCAGTTCTGTAACTTGAATACTTCTAGAGATATGCCGTATGAAAAATTCTGTTTGTATGGGAGGTGCCACGCCCACTTTTGAGTATGGGATTGATTTTATATATGTTTGTATCTCCATACTAAGTTCCAGTCGTACCATGAACATTTCCAGAGATATGCAGTATGAAAAATTCCGTTTGTATGGGAGTTGGCACGCCCCCTAAATATGTAAAAATTTATTTAGCCTATAACCATGCTTGGAAAGGTTGCGGTAGGTGTCCGAAATTTCGAAAAAAACGGTACAGCCGTTCTCGAGCTTTACGAATGGAAAAAAGGTATATACAAATTATATATTTCTAGAAGTTAACAAAATTAAACCACGTTTTTTACTGAAAAACAGTTGTGACACACAGTGTGACATTCTTGGTTGTGACAGTTTTCTTATATTCTCTAATTCAACTTTGTTTTGTTTTATGTTGTGGCCAAAGCCGTCGAGAGAAAATCCAGGCCTGGGGGTACATGTGTGCGCGATGTTATCTCAGCAGTCCCTCAGGATAGCCACATAGGCCCGATTCTGTTCTTGCTTTTTATAAACGATGTTTCAACAGATATAAAATTTTAAAAAATTTTAATGTATCAGACGATGTAAAACTTTATTAAATCCAGGTTTCAATTAAATAAAAGTCTTTGCTTCAAACGGAATTAAACAGCATATCTAACTGATGTAAAGTAAATCTTATGGTTCTAAATAAAAATAAAAAAATAAAGTAATGTGCGTCCGAGCTGTTCGACTTGTCGCAGATAAATGCTTGGTACAAATTTTATAGTTAAATTACTGAATAGCTCAATATCAAGTCAGATACTTCTGGCTGATGTTAGCCTTAATGCTCCCGCTCCTGTATCAAGACATTTCCTCCCCCTATTTTTGAACCCTTGTAAAACTGATTTTGAATTATATAATCCACTCCGTTGTTAATGTTAGGATTTCAACTTTCATTATATCAGTTTTGATAAAAACAGATAGTGCTTTACATCATTGAGAAAGCGATACTATTCTCTCTCAATAGATGATTGACTAAAATAAAGACATAATAATCAGCTGAAGAATTTGGGCCTGTAGCTGGATAATTTCAGATCTCGAAAGTTAACAAACTCCTGCCTTTCGGAACTCGGTGCAAAAATTAAAACCATTTCCGTACGTCATGCGGATATCGGGAAACCTGCTGCTCACTATGAGTGTTCGTAATTTCCATTAGTAATAACAAGGAAGCCAGCTACTCAACATCCAGCCGAGTTTTGCGTCTTTATGATGCTGATGTTAAAGCACACTTGCATTTTTTTATCTCTCTTGAAAACAATATGGACCCAGCAGAAACTTGAGAAAATATCTTTTATAAACAAAGCTAACATCTGCATTTTTTTTATTGATTTTTTTTATTTTGTTTCACCGCGTGTAGAAGGATCAATGTCTCACTGGAGAATGGTAATCAATTTGGTAATCTACAAGTTTGGAAAACAAACAACAAACGTTTTTTTTTTCGATTCATAATTTTCATATTTTTATTTTATTTTTTTATTCAGCAAAAAAGAATTACTTCTTGGTCACTCAAAGTTGGCATCAATTTTGCGGTTGCAGATAATGACGCATACTTATTTCAGGTACTTTTCCAACTCCTATACATACTTTGATTGTTATTACTGCTCGTTTGCTATTTCTTAAGAAGTGAGAGCAAAAGTCAACAAAAATTTGCCGACGAGATAAGAAATAGAATTTTTGCCAAAGCAAAGAGCACCGCCATCAATGCTGCCATTAGCAGGCAGACGACGTTGCAGTGTCATTCCAACGCCAACTTATCGACGACAACTTATGTCATCTAGTCAAGCTGGTATTCATAAGTACTCGTATTGTTGCTAGTTATTCCAGTTGCAAGTGACAATGAGAAATGCAGAATCTATGCAGAAACTTGTGCGAATACAATCATAAATGAAAACGCAATGTAGCACATACATACATACATACATACGCGGCACAGTGTGACGTCACAATATAAACGCCAGCTAAAAATAGTAAACACGCTCAGATTTTAAGGAAATTTCACTTAGAAAAGACGGAAAATGAAATACAGCCAAAAATCGGCGAACCTCCACGCGGAAATGAAGAATTTAATCCGATTTTATTGAAATTTATTTCTGCATATGTCGTACCCAGAAATTAAAAAATATGGGGTTGATTGGCCTGCTATCACGTCCCCAGCCACATAAAAGTCGGTTCCCAGAGCTAAATATGATCCGATTGCAGTATTTTTTGCTGCATGCATAACGTAGTTCTATTTTTTTTTATTATGAAATAAAAAATGTTATATAATATTTATTTGTGAACATATTAAGGAGTAAAAGCGTAGCTGCTATTTTCTTGTAGTTATAACATACTTTTTATTTTCAGAAATATTTGTATACCCGAGCGCACTTGTGCACAAGGGTATTATAACTTTGTTCACATAACGGTTGCTTGTAACAGGCAAATGATCAGAATGAAAATAGAAATCGATTAAGCGGTGACTGTCTGTCCACCCGTCCGTCCGGCCGTCTGTCCGTCTGTCTGTGCACACGATAACTCGAGTAAAAATTGAGATATCTTAGCGAAACTTGGTACGTGCACTTCTTTCGGGCGTAGGACGGAAAAGGGGCAAAATCGGACAATAACCTCGCCTACCTCCCATATAACGGTAATTTTCAGAAATACGCAAACTCCGATATTTAAGTAACTACTGAAGATTTTTCACTCAAAATTGATATTTACAGGGGCGTAGCCACGCCCACTTATGGATACTTGTGTAACAATTTCTTCCACAGTTGTTGGCCTTGGTACAGCATAACAAATGGCCGAAAATTTTTAAAATCGGACAATAACCATTACGAAATCTTCAATAAATCAGTAAATATTAAAGCTAATTTATTCAAAATTGATGCATGCAACAATTATTTACCAAGAAATACGCTTATGATAAAATTTTGGAAAATGGCCGTGGCACCGCCCACTTATGATCACATATATATATGTATCTCGGTAACCGTACTACCAATTTGTACCAAACTAGTTTTTTCTTCTACTTGATATAAGAGGATCGGATGTGAGTAACAATGCTATCATTAATTAACTGTTGCCAGCTTTTCTTGATGTTTTTTGTGTGTCTAAATCTGGTTTCTGATATCTTGATGCCGACTTTCCAAAGAGTAATACCGCAACTATGAACTAGTATCTTGTGGAGAGCGACAGGCATGAAATACCACGGGTAGTGATACAAATAAAACTTCCTCGTTAATGTGAATACTAGAAATGTTGGCTGATATCAGTTTGTTATCAAAAAATCTCTTTGCTGTATTTCCATCGTTCTTTGTTCTTTGGGCTGTTTTCATTTCGTGTATTATCAAACCCAATCGATATTTCAACTTCATTTGAATTTTACTTTTCGTTGTTTCAAAAAGTATTTTGTTTTCTCTTGCGTCTCTTCAACATTTAATGGAAGTCTATAAGATTTATGCGAAAGACACTCGAATAATTTTATTTTTGCATGCAACGGAGACAGTCCGTTCTGCACTTCACAGATGCTTTTCATATTTCCAAGACACAAATTGTTTCTTTGAGTAAAAAGAGTATCAAAATTCGAAACATTTACTCACTGCATTTGTTTCAAAGTAGTCTTTTAATTAGTTGATAAAAAAAAAATCACTTGCTTTCGTCAGGATCATTCTTGATTTTCTAAAGTGAGCGATAACTGGGTAAGTAATTTTTATGTAGTTCATTTATCGTTTCTTTCAATCGGCTATATTTTCTGACAGATAACTTCACGCCATAAAAACGTGCGAGGGCATCACAAGTAGACAACAAATTTGAATTTGTGTTAGCATTATCTTTTACTGCATGCAAATACTTAATAAAAGTTAAAGCAACTATTTCTTCAGATTTTCGAAACAAAAATTAAATAAAGTAAATTAAAGAAAAATAAAAATAAAAGACATAGATATAAAAAAAAAAAATAAAGCGAAATGAAATAAAAACTTCAAATAATAGTAATAGTAAAAACATAAAAAAATTAATAAGAAAATATAAAGTTACAAACAAATATAATATATATTAAAAAAAATAAAGGAATATAATTTTACTTAATACAGAATAAAATAGCAAACGAAAATAAGGTTGAGTAATGTAAAATACTATAAAACAATTTAAAATTAAATTAAAAATGTAAATAACAAATACCTATAAATTTTTTTACATAATAAAACAAGTTATAGTTAAATAAACATTAAACAATAAATATAAATAAAAAATCGTCAAAAATACTATAAAATAAACATAAAAAGTGAAAAAAAATAAAATTAAAGACTTCAATAAAAGAAAATCTAATAAAACAAACAAAATAAAATGAAATAGGAAATAAAAAGGAACTTAATCTAAGCGCAATAAGTTTAAAAAAATATATAGTTAAATAGAGTAAAAAATAAATAAATAAAAGTAAAGTAAAATTAAAAATTAAGCGATAAATAAAAATAAAGAAAATTATTTAAAAAAATACACTAAAGTAAATATAAAAAGTAAGAATAAAAACGACTTAAGCAGTGAAGACAATAAAGAAAGTAGAGAGAATAAAGAGACAACCCTCCGTTGCATGTGTTCGTTAATATTGGGAGGCGAACTGATACACTGTAGCGTACCAGCTGGCGAGTGTAAATGGTTTAACTCCAGACGTTGACGAACGGCGGAGCATACACAAGTGTACGTTGCTAAGTCTAAGTATATAAGCACATAAAAAAACCAACAAAAACTTTAGCTACAATGCTAACTAATACATATGTAGATACTAAATACATACTTACACATAAATGCTTTGAGATACGGCTAATTTAAATAATCACTGCTCTTTGCTTGATGCTAGTTTTCTACTCTTTTCGTTGTTGCTGTTATGTTGTTGTAGCTATAGAATGCTGTAAACGTCATCAAAACGGACGATGCACAAAACAAAATTGAAAATCGTATTAAAAAAAAGAAAGTATTGCGAAAATTTTGTAGCAGACGGTGAAATGCAAAATCAAAAATTTACGCTAACAGCTGGAATGGTTTTTTGGCAGAATTTGAGTAATTAATCGCGATTAGGTATAAAAGAAATATGAAAATTTATATGCCAGATAGACTGACATTATCTATTAGCCGTCCGGTGTTAATTAAGACAAATGTGTCTGCTCATCAAATGAAAATACCCAATGATAACAGCAGTGGGAGTAGCTGTCAGGTTCTTTTTTTTTTTTTAGAATCCCAAATAAAAAATGCTCTTGGCGAATTTATAACAACTGCGCAGATTAACTTCCTATTTGTATTTTCGCAAAATACGCAATTCTTTTTTTTTTTTTTAATAAAACAGGATTTTAGTTAATTTTCTACGCACTTGGAAAAACACTCGTTATGGCGTGGGTAACATATTTTTCGAAATAATCTCTTTGAATTTTAATATTTTTTGGTATCTTTTCAATTCCTTTTATATTCAAACAGTTTCTTACATGTATGTATTTTATTTTCTCCTTAATCTGCTACACTCATAAATATTTTGCACAATTTCAAGCACTCACTTCATTTATTTTTATAAAATACATCTACAGAAACTTGATTGCTTTGTCGTCGTTGACTTTGGTTAACTTTTTCTCTTTTATTTTTAGCTCCACGTTTGCAATTTTTGGTTATTAATCGATTATTTTTATTTTTATTTTTCTTTTGTTTTATTTTTATTTTTTTTTTACAAAAATCAAAGTACTCGCTTTCAGCGTTCTATGGCCTTTTATTCAATCGTATGAGTGCGTGTGTGTGTGTGTGTGTGAGGAAGATTGCTTGCCGCGTTGGTAGTGTAGCAAGCGTTTGGAGCGACAATGGTGTTGGCGGAGGTGGTGCTGGTGTTGACGGTGACGACAACGGCGGCGGAGGCAAATAATTCTGACTACGAATAATGAGAAAACACGGCGACTACGAAGACCACAACAACCCTACAGCAGCTGATGTCAATGAAGACTGATGAAAACATACCCAGGCCGCAATCAGCCGGTTGCAGGAGAGAATCTCACCAAAAAGCTGGTGGTGGTGCTCTGAGAGATTTCCACTTTTACACTGTTTGCTAGCTCCTCACACTCTTCGGATGCACTCTTAAACGACTTTGAACTCTTCAATTTAGCAAAATTTTAATTCAACAGTGTTACCAAGTGAAGCGGAAAGTGCTTAATTATTTATTATGAAAGAATAATTCGAAAAAAAAAAATTCATCTAAGGGGTAGTCTGTTAACTTGGAAAAGCATTACGAAACTCTTAACATGTTGGGATCTTTCAAACATTGCACAGTGGTTTCGGCCATAGGTAAACAAAACTCGTTTTTCCTTTTTGTCACTGTCATTACTCGTTATGATAATAGAAATGTTGAAATTTTATGAATATATTAAAATTTAGCATGAAAATCGGTATTAACAGCTACAATGCCATAATTATTTTTTTCGTGTGTGAGGATCTGCCAGATTTTAATATTTCCCCATGGATATCTTGAAAAACGGTATGTAGTTTATATTCGTGTATACAAGTGCTTTGAATTTATTATTAGGGGGTAAACTTTCTATGGTCTTTAAAACTTAAAATTGTTTCTTAATATTCTAGGGTTGTAAAATAGAGACTCAGAAAAGTTAAGAGTCACAAAAGTTGAAACCTACGGAAAGGTAACTTTTCGGTTAACTTCTGTGAGCTCTTTTTTATCCGTTTCTTTATCTAACATCAATTGGATTTTGATCAAATGGAATGAGTACAATGAAGAGTTCTCAAGTAAATACATTTCACAGCTCCTAAATATAGTAAAATCTCATTTTGACAAACACGTTACTCAAAAAGGGGTTACAGCTAACCAGATATTTATTTAATGTTATATGAGGTATACAAAAAGGAAATATTCATTCGAAATTCTCGCTTTTGGCTTTCGCGCAGGACTCAAGAGAATTAATTTCGGGATATCCAAATTGTTTTGGTGCCAAGTTTGGCTCGTTCCTGCTTAACAGGCCGGCGCAGAATTTCGCTGGACTGGTTTTGGAACAGAGATAGTTAAGCTGTTATGTAACAGCTTCCAAAACGGTTTCTTGGTAAAATTTCACAGATGTTTTGACACTTTGTTCGAAAAATGCAAGTCTGTGACTTCATCGTAAGTGGCACCCCACCAGTCAGTCAGTTAGAGTACTGACGCCGTGGAGTCTGTTTGAGTTCTTCATTAGATGGCACGGTATAAATTTGTTCTTCCTGGTCAATTTGTCAGCGTGCTTCAGAAAAAGACGTTAAAAATTTCCCATCCATTTTTTTTTAAACCTTTAGTCAATAAATGTCCGGTATGGCATTTGAATGCTCAAGTCTCCAGCGTTTTTTTTTAATAATTCGACTCATTGGATTTTCCATGATATTCGTCTCTCGAGCCATGATTTCCTGTTGTCGGAGCGAATTTCAACGAATTCAGTTTTGATGACTTGCCGCATTCGAACTGTGTCTTTAACATCTGCTAAAATCAAGCGCTATGGCAAGGTTCTAGAGCGTGTGTTCAGAAGAAGTTGAGCCAAAAATTGAATGAAGTATTTAGGGAAAATATATATATATAAAATATAAAATATTTGTAATCAAAGAAGACATTCACAGAAGCTGGTTTTCATTAAATGTCAACCGGTAAAGCCGGTTGATTGGTATTTGAGAATAAAAGTTTATTGAAATCTTTGCGCTATATTATGTCTGCGAGAGGGCTGGCAACTCTGACACACTCGTGCTGCTTCGTCTAGCTGTCAGCCAGCGATTTTCTGTTGACGTGTGCGTATCTATTAAATTCCAAAAAAATTACAATTGTTTTGTGCCATCTTCTGTTTGTGTGTGTAGGTACACATACACACTAATACATATGTATATACTATATATATGCATTGGGCAAATGTACTTTACTTTCTTATGAGCTCAGCCGTCTTTTACAATACCGGCGATTTTCCAAACATGTCAGCTTTAAAAACAAAAAAACAGGTACACCGTATAAATTTGTGCGTAAGTGCCTAAATAGCTGCAGACGTTTTTATGTACATACATTTATTGCTAAAATATGGTCTCCGAGAATGTAACTTTAGTTCTACCTATACGGAAAAATTGATCGCTTAACATTGCAAATTCAATTAAAGTGTCCATACACATACATACATACATAAGTACCTACATATGTACATATATACATATAGTATAAATGCTTTTTTTAAATTCCCTCATTTTATGCTCACATTCCTAATCAGATAATAAATAATAGAACTATATTTGCATTCAATTTTAGTGTTGCTGTTCTTCCACCTTTTTTTCTTTGCCTATTTACCGCTTATCTAGTTCGTGACATTTGGCAAGTGGTACTAAGTATCCAAGTCCATATTGTACATTTTTTAGTACGAGTATTTATTTAGTTTCCGTTTTCTTTTTAGCTATGTTCATTGTACTATTGCTTTGATAATTTTATTCCTTTTGTGTTGCAGTGTATCTGCGGCTAGCGATTTGCTGGTGACTTTTGTTTTTTAATCAGCGGTGAAGTGTATGTATTATAAAAGTATTTACTTTTGCTGTCGCTTTCTCTCAATACTATATCGCTCTGTATCTGGAGAAAGAGAGTCCATAGAGAAACTGTAGAATATAAGGAGGGAGCGGTCGGCAATTTTCATTGCCTTTTTGTTTGTTTTTCTCGCTGTTTATGTGAGCGTAAAAAACTTTGACTTATGTACATTTGTATGCATGCATGTGTGTGTGCTGTTGAGAGAGCGCCAAACAATCGCCGATGTGGCAGATTGAGTCAGCCCAGTACCACCACCCAGTTTTGGAACAGTGGAGCGTGATGCTGATATTTTAGGTATTTGTTTTGTTTTCACATATTTTCGTTGTTTCCTTAATCTATTCATAGTGCCACATTTATGTTGAAACTAATTCAGTTCGAAATTAATCTTTAGTACCAACTTAAAATTGGTGTATATTTATACTTGTATTTCTGACATCTAAGTAGTTTAAACTTTGTTTCACAATCTAACAAAATCAGTTGTTCCTGTTATCAAAGGGGAACCGATTTTCGATTTTTTATAAAATTTTTTATTGCGTAATTTTGCAGACTTTTTTTCTTTTCAGGAACTCCAGAACTATTGAAAAACTACCCGGGACAGTTCCAATTTTTATTTATTTTATTTTTTTCGAACATTAAACTCTTTAGAAATTTTTGTTTTTTTTTTGTGTAATTTGGCAAAACTTGTTTTCCTTTCCAGTAACTCTAGAAGTATTGAAAAGCCACTAACAACAGTTTTAATTTTTTTCACACATGAAGCTTTATTGGCTTATTCCGGTGTAATTCCGGTGTAATTTGGCAGAACAATTTTTCTTTTTCAGAAGCTTTCTTACAGAAAATCTACTCGGAAGAGTTTTAATTTGTATTTTTTCATGCATTGAAGTTTTTTGGCTTTTTTTGATTTTTTTTCGACGTTCTAGAATTATTGGAAAGCTACTCAAAATATTTTTTTTGTCTTTTTGCACCGACATGTTTCGGCTCGGCCAAACAATTGGCTAAAGTGTAAGCGCCAAAATATTACTATATATTATTATAATAACAGCCAATTCCACGAAAGCAATTTAAGTGAAAAATGACTTTAATTTTTTGAATTCTATATGGAAGTTGACAGAAAATTAAAAATCATTTTCCAATTAAATTGCTAGTGATACCGTGTTCTTTTTTTACGCGTTAGCCCAGAAATTTTTAATAAAAAAAAAAATTAATTAATTATTAAAATTTTATAAAGAGACAGTCTTTTAGTTTCTATAGGTCATATTTTCCTCTCTGCACTTCCAAAAATGAACAGCTTGAACAGTTTTAAGGAAATGGTTTATTCACGATGAAAAAGCGAACAGGTAGTTCTGTGTTTTGTCGTGTCTCTCTGCTGAAAATTCTGTACGAAATTCATTAAACCGCATTATTTCGCTATCAAAATATTTATACATCGTATTTAATTTCTTTTTGTCAATTAAATTGATCGCAATTTTTAAAACAGGTGGCAACTCTCTATTCTTTTATAGTCAAAATCATCCGGAGTTTATAGCGAAAAATTAGGAAAAATAATTATTCCATTTGCGGTTGTTTTTTCTTATGCATATGTGCTTTAATAAACTATGAAAATTTCATAAAATTCGGTCCAGTATATATATATATATATATATATATATATATAAGACAAGATTCATCGCGAAATTGTATTTACACGGGAACTTGAAAAATCTATACATACATAGGTACTACAAAAAGTAAAATCAGCCACTCATGCTCATATACCCATAGTTGCGTATGTAACGTATACGCCCCGTAGCAACATACGCATCATCTAACACTTTTACTCGCACGTCTTAAATTAAAATTCATATTATTTAAAAGTAATTCAATATTGGCGTGTGAGATTTTTACACAGTATTCCTTATGCACATATATGTATTTATATTGGAAAATATTTTGAGATGGGGATTTTTCGATAAATATATTTTTTTTTGTAACATAGTAGCATAATTTTTTTTTTTTCATAAATGAAGTACATTATAACCCGCGTAACTAATATTTTTTAATTGCTACCCTATTGAAACCACATTTTCAAAATCGTTTCCTGTTCCCGGTACCGGTCAAGGTAGATTTTCAATGGTTGCAGTAACTCCCATAAAGGTGAAAATTGGTAAGAATGTTACGTAAGTCAATATAAATGAAATGTGAAGAGTCCTTATCGATCCCAGTTCTGCAAACACATTATTCCAGGTCAAAGGCCACATAAATGGATTTTTACAATTTTTCAGCTAAACCGTAAGGTTTATCTTAAAAATAGGTTAGACAAAAGTGTAGACAATGAAATTATCTCTAAAAGCCGTCATGACACTTTTTTTCCTAAGAGTCACCATTTTTGGGATATAACGACTCGATCGACATCCATTTTGTAATAATTTAGTTAACTTATAAAATACTTTGA